TCAAATATACAATACAATATTACTAATGATAGACACCATGCTGTACATTATATCTCCAGGACTTTTATTATTTTTTTGGCCATGCTGCATGGCAAATGGGATCTTAGTTCCCCAATCAGGGATGGGACCCATGCCCCGTGCAGTGGAAATGTGGAGTCTTGACTACTGGACAGCCCGGGAAGTCCCAGGACTTATCACTGGAAGTCTGCATTTTTTTACTCCCTATTCTGCCTCTAACGTCACCAGTCTGTTCTCGGTACCTATGAGTCCTCTATTTTTTAGATTCCACATATAAGTGATACCATACTATATTTGTTTTTCTCTATTTGACTTATTTCACTTAGCATGATGCCCTCAAGGATGACCCATGTTGTTGCAAATAGCAAGATTTCAGCCTTTTTAAAAAAGAATAATTGAATAATATTCCATTGTATGTATACACACACCATATTTTCTTTATACATTGATGGATATTTAGGTTGCTTCCATGTCTTGGCTATTGCTGTAGTGAACATGGGGTTCATATATCCTTTTAAGTAGTGTTTTCATTTCCTTTGGATAAATACTCATAAGTGGAATTGCTGGATCATATGGTAGTTATATTTTAAATTTTTTGAGGAACCTCTATACTGTTTTCCAGGAGACAGGGATCAAGACCATCCCCATGGAAAAGAAATGCAAAATAGTTGTCTGAGGAGGCCTTAGAAATAGCTGTGAAAAGAAGAGAAGCAAAAAGCAAAGGAGAAAAGGAAAGATATTCCCATTTGAATGCAGAGTTCCAAAGAATAGCCAGGAGAGATAAGAAAGCCTTCCTCAGCAATCAATGCAAAGAAATAGAAGAAAACAACAGAATGGGAAAGACTAGAGATCTCTTCAAGAAAATTAGAGATATCAAGGGAACATTTCAGGCAAAGATGGGTTCGATAAAGGACAGAAATGGTATGGACCTAACAGAAGCAGAAGATATTAAGAGGTGGCAAGAATACACAGAAGAACTGTACAAAAAAGATCTTCATGAGCCAGATAATCACAATGGTGTGATCACTCACCTAGAGCCAGACATCCTGGAATGTGAAGTCAAGTGGGCCTTAGAAAGCATCACAAAAAACAAAGCTAGTGGATGTGATGGAATTCCAGTTGAGCTATTTCAAATCCTGAAAGATGATGTTGTGAAAGTGCTGCACTCAATATGCCAGCAAATTTGGAAAACTCAGCAGTGACCACAGGACTGGAAAAGGTCAGTTTTCATTCCAATCCCTAAGAAAGGAAATCCCAAAGAATGCTCAAACTACTGCACAATTGCACTTATCTCACACGCTAGTAAAGTAATGCTCAAAATTCTCCAAGCCAGTCTTCAGCAATACGTGAACTGAGAACTTCCAGATGTTCAAGCTGATTTTAGAAAAGGCAGAGGAACCAGAGATCAAATTGCCAACATCCGCTGGATCATCGAAAAAGCAAGAGAGTTCCAGAAAAACATCTATTTCTGCTTTATTGACTACGACAAAGCCTTCAACTGTGTGGATCACAATAAACTGTGGAAAATTCTGAAAGAGATGGGAATACCAGACCACCTGACCTGCCTCTTGAGAAACCTGTATGCAGGTCAGGATGCAACAGTTAGAACTGGACATGGAACAGACTGGTTCCAAATAGGAAAAGGAGTATGTCAAGGCTGTATATTGTCACCCTGCTTATTTAACTTATATGCAGAGTACATCATGAGAAATGCTGGGCTGGAAGAAGCACAAGCTGGAATCAAGATTGCCGGGAAAAATATCAATAACCTCAGATATGCAGATGACACCACCCTTATGGCAGAGAGTGAAGAGGAACTGAAAAGCCTCTTGATGAAAGTGAAAGAGGAGAGTGAAAAAGTTGGCTTAAAGCTTAACATTCAGAAAACTAAGATCATGGCATCTGGTCCCATCACCTCATGGGAAATAGATGGGGAGACAGTAGAAACAGTGGCTAACTTTATTTATTTGGGCTCCAAAATCACTGCGGATGGTGACTGCAGTCATGAAATTAAAAGACGCTTACTCCTTGGAAGGAAAGTTATGACCAACCTAGATAGCATATTAAAAAGCAGAGACATTACTTTGCCAGCAAAGGTCCGTCTAGTTAAGGCTATGGTTTTTCCAGTAGTCATGTATGGATGTGAGAGTTGGACTATAAAGAAAGCTGAGCACCGAAAAACTGATGCTTTTGAACTGTGGTGATGGAGAAGACTCTTGAGAGTCCCCTGGGCTGCAAGGAGATCCAACCAGTCCATCCTAAAGGAGATCAGTCCTGGGTGTTCATTGGAAGGACTGATGCTGAAGCTGAAACTCCAATACTTTGGCCACCTCATGTGAAGAGTTGGCTCATTGGAAAAGACCCTGATGCTGGGAGGGATTGGGGGCAGGAGGAGAAGGGGATGACAGAGGATGAGATGGCTGGATGGCATCACCGACTCGATGGGCATGAGTTTGGGTAAACTCCGGGAATTGGTGATGGACAGGGAGGCTTGGCGTGCTGTGATTTATGGGGTCGCAAAGAGTTGGACACGACTGAGCGACTGAACTGAACTGATACTGTTTTCCAGAGAGGCTGGAATTTCCATTCTCACCAACAGTGAACAAGGATCCCTTTTCTCCACATCCCCAGCAACGCTTATTGTCTCTTGTCTTTTTTGTAAAAAGTTAATTTATTTTTTATTGAAGGATAATTGCTTTACTAGCTCTTGTCTTTTTGATAATAGCCATTCTAACATGTGTGAGGTGATATCTAATTGTGGTTTTGATTTGCATTTTCCTGATAGTGATATTGAGCACCTTTTCATGTACCTGTTGGCTGTTGTATGTCTTCTCTGGAAAAACATTGATTCAGTTCCTCTGTCCATTTTTCAACCAATTTTTTTTTGACTGGGCTGTGTGGCATGTGGGATCTTAGTTCCCAGACCAGGAATCGAACCCATGCCCCTTCAGTGGAAACTCCGAGTCCTAATCACTGGAATACCAGGGAATTCCCTCAAATTTCTTTTGAAACTGCATTCATGCTAAGTCGCTTCAGTCATGTCTGACTCTTTGTGACCCCAGGGACTGTAGCCCACCAGACTCCTCTGTCCATGGGATTCTCCAGGCAAGAATACTGGAGTGGGTTGCCATTTCTCCTCCAGGGGATCCTCCTGACCCAGGGATCCAACTGGCATCTCCTGCATTGCAGGCAGATTCTTTACCATCTGAGCCACCAGGGACAAAAGGCTTTACACTGCATTCCTTCGCCCCCCTTCTTCCTGAGTCAACCTCACACCTTTCGTCAGAGAGGCAGCCTGGGTTGAGAAAAGAGCACTAACTTTGGAGCTCGGACAGTTATCTCTCTTGGCCTTTAGTCTCCTCTTTGGTGATGGGGATAATAACCACCTCCATATAGATGCGGCTGTGAGAACTGGGTGGAAAATGTAGAGGAAGTATCCCAATCCACAGGGGACTGGTTACTTCATCTTCCTTCCTCTCTGGGCTCCAGGGGAGAGGCTGGGGAAGGAAGGGTGCCAGCAATAGGAAAGCCCAAACCCTTCCCCCCCCACCGCTTGAGCGGGGAGGATTGTCCCTGGGAGAATAGCTACTCTTGCCTCCCCCTCCCTCTGATCTCACCTCCAACACTTTCAGACGCTCCACTCCCTCAATTTGTCCCGAGGATCCCAAAGGAGCTAAGGTTGGGAAATCTGGGGAAGGAATGTGAAGCTTGCCAGAGTTGAGTCCTTTTAAAAACAGCTGGGGGTGACCTGGTTCCCCCCCCCCACTCCCCTAAAGCTTGTAACAGCCCTTTGCAGCCCGAACTCCACAGCCGACCCTTCAGCCCCAAGTGTATCACAGGAGGCAGTGATACAAATGGCTCTGCAACACAAATGTCAGGGTGGAGTGAACTCCAGAAAGGTGGGCTGTGGAGAGATGTCTAGGGGTGGGGAAGTGGCTCATCGGACTGCAGTCACCACTTCTTTTTGGTCCAGGAGTTCAGTTTATCAGTACTTGGTCAGGTGGAAAGGATTTTTTGAGGCTTGCAGCAGGTATGGCTGGGGGGACCAGCTCAATTCTCTCCCGGCAGGTTGGGAGGGGGTAGGGTTTAGTCACTAAATCCTGTCTGACTCTTGCGACCCTATGCACTGTAGCCCACCAGGCTCCTCTGTCTATGGGATTCTCTAGGCAAGAATACTGGAGTGGGTTGCCGGTTCCGTCTCTAGGGAATCTTCCCGACCCAGGAAACGAATAGGGGTCTCCTGCATTGCAGGCAGATTGGGAGGCAGAGGTGCCAAACCAAACTGCGAAAATCGTAAAGCTCCTAAAAAGCTTTCCAGAACAGTTCATAGAAACAGGGAAGCGTTAAAAGGCGGGTTCCCAAAGCCACGTCCATAGATTTCGATTTCAGATAGTCTGGTAGAATCTACATTTTATTTTGAATAAATTCTTCCAGGTAATTCTGAGCTGGAGGTCTGAAGTCAACATTTTAAGGACCTGCTCCTTAAAATACATACATATCCTCACTGCTGGAAGTCCTTTCTTTGGTCAAACTAGACTCTGCTGTTTTGAAAGTTGTTTCAGGGGATCCTGCTTGCTTCTCTGCAGACTAAATTCTCATCAGGGTTTGGCTTAGCTCCTCACACTGGGGCAACGGTAATCATGGTAACCTAAATGGGGAGTAGGGGAAAAATCGTGAACCTGGGCCTGGCTCCTGGAGGGGCTGGCCGCAGTTAGACCCCGACCCATGCTAGGCCCTTCACAATTTAGATCTTGACCTAAGAGTTCAGCCAAAGCAAAGTGAAGAGCGGGGCGCTCCAGAGAGGGTCATGCTTTTAGAGATAAGGGTCCCTGCTTCAGCGCCGGCGGGAATGGACACAGGCAGAGAGAGGTTCGTGTTCCTGAAGCCACTGCGCTCGCCCCTCCGCCAAACTGGAGCGGAGAGGCGGGGCCCGGCCGGGCCGGGGGCGGGGCCCGGCCGTGAAGCGCGCGTTCTTGGTTACTATGGTAACACGTCAACACCCTGCGCGGAAGTGGTGTTGTGGGCATCAGACGCTGTGGAGGCGCCGAGTTAAGGCGTGCGGCTGAGATGGTGAGGTCCCGGGTATGCAGGAGAACCTCGGATGGGGACCTCACGTGTTTTCAATTGTGTTGGGTTCTGAGCGGGGACAATGAGGATCTGAGATGGGGAGAGAAGTTGGATGTGGGGGTCAGAAGGTCCAGGAACAAGGATGACAATCCTAGAAGAGGCTAGGGAAGACCGGTGGGGGATCCAAAAGGGAAATAAGGACTGGGGCCGATCGCGATTGGAAATGTAATCTGGGGCTGAGCCGAGGAGGTGGAAAAGTGCTGTCGCAATCCTCATCCCCCCTCCCATCTGGCTGGGGATTGTGGGATGTGACGTGGGAAAACCACTGGTGAGGGGGCCAGATAACAGGTTACGTTCTGCCTATATGAACCTATGTGCAAAAGGGACACTGGATCCCTGGGTGGAGAGTACACCCAGGAAAAGGACAAGGCTTCGTCTTTGTTCAGTTGACAAGTGTTACAGTCAAGTCAGGGAAACTCCACACCGCCCTGTGCCCACCCTGTTCCAGCCACGTTCCAGCTCTGTCTTGTTGGATTTGAGCTGAACATCCAGGATCTCAGGACATCTGGCACTGCAGTTTTTTAAGGGCTGCACTCTCTGTGTTCAAAGTCAGGGCACCATGTCTGATTAGTAGTGCCACAATGTGTAAGTCACCTAATGTCCCCAAACCTCAGTTTTCTTTTGTTATTGGGGCTCTGGGTCACTCACAGTTACTCAATAAACATTTGCAAACCAATAAGTGAATGAATGAATAGGGTACCAGATTTGAAAGTCCCTGGAAAGGGATTGGGGCTTCCCTGATAGGTAAAGAATCCACCTGCAATGCAGGAGACCCCAGTTGGAGGGATTGAGACTGGTCTAGCAGGCCTGCAGTTCCCTGGGGTGGACAGGATGACAGGAGGGTTTGAAAGGACAGTATGCCTGGGAGAAGGTAAGAAAGTAATGTCTGGGATCCAGGGAGGATGGTATGGTCCCTGAGGGATAAGTGAGATGGGGCAGAGGGTAGGTGTTGGAGCCTTGGGTTACTGAAATAACCTTAGAATTTCTGGGTGCACACACTATGGCAAAGGTAGCTCCTTCAGTGTACTTGTGGACACACTTCATGCTCAGAGGTCACTCTGCTTTTCTGGGACTAAGTGGTTCAAATTCAGGGTTCCCAAGTTGGAGTTTCTAGAAGAGCTTTGTTAATGATAAAAGAAACAAATCTCCAGAGGAGAGCAGTTCCCAACTTCTGAGGACTTTCTGCAATGTTGCAGCGGGCGTCTTCTTTTACTTATGCTTTTTATGATGCATATTTATCCCTGGATCTCCATATTTATCTCCACCTGGGGATCTAGTGTCTCTTTTGCACATAGGTTTACGGTCCTGGTGCTGTGTCTGTGAGGTCCTAGCATCACACTTGGCATCTAAGGGCTCACAAGTGTTAGTTCTTTTTTTCTCCTCTTTCAAAAATGTCTTATCTCCAAGTCAAATGAATGAGTGAGTTGCACCTGGGTTAGACTTGTGGGCTTCAGCTCACCCAAATCAGGGACTCCCCATCCAAGGGCCACTCAGACTGGGGCTTTGGTTTGTTGACTGAACCCTTCTGAAATCCCTTGGACAGGACAGGGCATATGGGTACCTTTGATAAGTAGTGGGTCAAGTTAGTGATCTCTGACCTTTGGCAGGCTAGGGATGTGTGTGTGTGTGTGTGTGTGTGTGTGTGTGTGTGGTGCTACTTACTAGCTTTTCAGATTGGAGGAGTGGGGAGAGGTGATGGTTTGAGACAGGGTCACAGTTAGGCACACATCTAGGACCCTTACAAAAACAATAAATAACGTCCCCCAGAAAGAGGGACAGGGCCTTGGTGTTGAGTAGGATGTCATCTTCAAATGGCACCCCACAGATGGCCAACCTGGTCATATTTGAGGAGAGAGATGACCCGAGTGAAAGGCAAGGTGCCTGGTACATGGGCACCCACACCTTCTTCGTAACCAAAGTCTACGGAAAAGGAGTAGAATCAGGTCAAGAGCGTGAAGCCTGTGGTGAACCTGTGTGTGAAAGAAACTCTCGATCCCTGGGTGGAGAGCACACCCAGGAAAGGACAAGTCTTGGTCTTTGTTCAGTTGACAGGTGTTACAGTTATATCAGGGAAACTCTACACTGCTCTGTTCCAGCCCCGTTCCAGCTCTGTCTTGTTGGAATTGAGCTGAACATCCCAGATCTCAGGACATCTGGCACTGTAGCTGTTTAAGGGCTGCACTCTGTGTGTTCAGAGTCAGGGCACCAGGTCCACTGCTTTGTTTTGTAAAAATAGTGCCCCCTTCCCCTGTCTCAGCCATAAAGAGAGTTACCTTTTCAATGCAGATCATTATTCAATATGAGAAATACCTGAAGATGCTAATGCTCCCCTGAAACTACTGTTAAACATTTTTGTGAACTTTCTTTCAGTGATACATTTCGGTTTCATAGGAGCGTTTTTACTGCAGTACTTGCATATTTCTTATAATCTGCTTTCTTTCAAACTTGATACATTAGGGAGATCATCCTGTATCTATAATGACGTGAAGATCATATTCTGGTTAGCCAGTTAATCTTTCTGCATCAGAGTCTCTCCCGGAGCCCCCAGAAGGGGCTGAATTCTTACAGACCTAGGATGGGATGCTATTTGAAGAGATAAGGAGTCAGCTAGGTCACCAAAAGGAAAATATAAATGTAGGGCTGGTATCTTTTTCTGTCTCAATCCTCATCTTCCCCAGTCATCCTCGTCTCCTCAAAGTCTTTCCTTCCCTACCAGAGATGCCTTCCCTCACGGGAGATGAGCACCCTAGGCACAGCTCAGCTTCTTGGGCATATTTATAATTTGTCAAGTCATGCGAGAAATAAAACCAGCCCCTCAACTCCTGTAAGAACCTCTTGGCTACTGCCTCTGGACCCAGAGGGATCTAACTTTCCATTTCTGCTTGTTTCTTCATTTTTTCTAGTACTTTTACACAGTGACCTCCTTAATCCTTCTTGTTGCTTTTGGCAAAACTGGTTATTCTAACCCTGGTGTAAGGCTTGTGGCTTCAAAGTCAGCATTTCCCCAGTGAGGTTTCTCAGCCACCCAACCCCAGAGCTCAATGCTTCCTTCTGCTCTGCCCAGCGGCTGCTTTTCTGTGGTCATCATCTGTTTTCCTTCCTCTGTTCTGACTTCGAGGCTCAGGAAGTCGAGTATTTCTTGTGTGACTTCCTCTTGTCCTGGGTACCAAGGGCGCAGGAGGGAGGTGACACAGTCCCAGCCCTGGAGGATCCTACATTCTGGTGGACACCTGGGCCTAAGGGGAAGGCTGCAGGAGCCCTTGAAAAGAAACAGGAAAACAAACGCAAAACAACAATAATGCTTCCCATCTGTGCTCCAAAGCCCTTTCACATACGTTATTTTCCCTGGTGCAGAGCACATACGCGATGTGGAAAACGTGGGGTGGTGGTGTATTCTGGAAAGGCTACCGTCTCAGTCTGGTCTGCAGATCCCAAGAGGTCCTCTTGCTTGGTTTCATTCATTCATTCTTCATCAAATGCATATCGAGGTCCCACTACATGCCACACTCTGCACCTTTCCCCTTAGAGCTGACACCATCTCTTTCGATCCGATGCTTTCCATCTTTCAGCTTATTCCTAATGCTTTGCCTCAGTCCCACCTACTGTGGTTTGTATTCATTTCTCCTTATTCTATTTCTGGTGGGAAGGAGAGCTGTTGCTCCCCACTCTCCATATAATAACCCTTCAGAGTCTGTTATTAGGCATCGCTGGGGCTCCTGTATTTACCTTTTCATGAATTTGTGCTTTTCTGCTCTGCTGTATTGGGGCTGACAGAGGCTGTAAAGCAAGTCTCCCTCTGTGAGCCTTTTGCTGGCTGTGCCAGGCTGGGACGGAAGGGCACACACAGCCCTGCTTGTATGGAATGGAGCCAGCGGAGAATAATCGCCTGATTTGGTGCGAAAAGCTGACACAGGTGTAACAGGTGCTGCAGGGAGTTCTACGTGGTCATGGCAGATTAGAGAGAGCATTCAAAACACATTGTCCAGTGTTTCATGACCTGGAATGCATGGTCATTTCCCTGTCCTCCCTGTCCCCTTGACGGCTGCTCATTCCCAGGCTTTGTAGACCTGACGTGTCCAGCCCTTTGCACCGAGGTCTTCCAGCTCTGAGAACTGCAGGAGATGGGGGCTCCTCCAGAATGAGATTTAGGGTAAGCCTGGCATTGTCCCACTGTCCTCACAGAAACCGCCCCCTGGAGACAGACTTCTCTTTAGGCTGACCTTGGGGAATGGAGGTTGTATTAGTCAGGGTTCTTGGTTATAAACAGAGCCAGAACTCCGATTTAGAGAGAAGGGAATGTATGGAGAGAATTTTGGAGAGTGCACAGAACTCATGCCAAGGCTGGGCAGCTAGGCTTGGAAAATGAAAACACACAGGAACCGCGGCCAGAACTGAGGCCCAAATCACAACCCAGCACTGGCCTGGCAGAGACCCTTGATGCCACCCCCAGGGCTGGCACCTTCATCATGGCAGCTGCTCCTGGTGCCCTTATCAGCCTTGCCCCAGACATAGGGTGTGACCGCCACTGCTGCCTTTGTCAGAAGGGGTTTCAATGTTCCCCTTCTTACATCACTAGTTCCCGATTCATCGTCAGGCTTGGGGGATCTGATGGCTCACCTACGTCCTTTGCCCAGGCTTGGAAGGCAGCTATCTGATGTTTTCAGCCTGTACACTCAGAGATGATCCCTGTCTCCTTCAGCTCATTAGATGGGAGAGACGAGGCTCAAACCTAGGAGAATACTGGATGGCTAAATACTGACTTGTGCATGTTGAAGGGGCTTCCCCAGTGCTCAGCGGTAAAGAATCTGCCTGCAATGTGGGAGACATGGGTTCAATCACTGGGTCAGGAAGCTTCCCTGGAGGAGGGCATGGCAACCCACTCCAGTATTCTTGCCAGGAAAATCGATTGTAGCCTGGTGGGCTACAGTCCATGGCGTCGCAAAGAGTCGAATATGAGTGAAGTGACTGAGCATGCGTGCACGCACCTGCACATTCAAGCAGTCCTGGGAGTGCAAGAGCCTCGTAGGGGACACAGCTTCAGGGTGAACCTGGTTGCCTGATTATGGCCGGCAGTCGTTCATCCACTGAAGTTTATCAGGCATCAACCGTGCCTGCTGTGTGCTAGGTACTTTTCAGCATTAGTGTCCTCGGGTCCCTACGTAACCTTCTGAGATGTGGGGACACGGAGGAGGTCAGCTGTGAAGGGGGCTTGGTGTTCAGATGAGGAGGCTGGAGGTGACGAGGACACTGTGCATTTCTGGAGAGGAGAGCCCCTGTGGTCTCACAAGAGACTGTGCTTGGGGGGAATGAGAACGGGGCTGACGCTGAATCATCCTCCTGCCATCCTGTGTCCTTCCGCCTTCCTTCCCTGCTGTGCAGTGGCTGGACTTCTTCAGCTCAGAAACCTCAGAAGTCCTCCTTCTTGCTGGGCTGGTGTCCAGGGAAGGCACTGCCCCTCTAGGGCATCTCCTGTGTTTCAGGATTTACCCCGGTGCTTTCCCATACGCTGACCCCACCTTCCCTCAGTACGGGCTGGTGAGGCGTCTGCCTTGCCCGGGGTGCAGATGGTGGTCGGTACTGATGAGCCCAAATTTCTGCCTCTCCCTGCAGCCGTTAAGTACAGCTGGTGTGCTGAGCTCCGCCTCTACTGCTTCCAACAGGTCAAGGAATAGGTCCCGCTATCGGACCAAAGCCCTGAGCTCCGAGGTGGATGAGAGCCTTTTTGGAGCTATCAAGGTAAGCCTCACTCAGTCCCGCCAGGGAGCTGTCCCCTGGAGGCGGTGACCTAACTGGCTAGTGTCGCTTAGGACAAAGCTATCCCTGGACAGGTCACCCCCTCTCCCAGGGAACGAACTCTCAGACTGAAGGCAGTGGGGGTCTGAGGCTCCAGTGGACAAGCTCAGACACTGTGTGGGGCCCGTGAAAACAGGCCACCTGGTTTCCTCCACCCTTGAGGTCTTCACATCTGTGCAGCTTTTGAAGATCTGTTATAATGCTGAAGGGAGGCTCAAGTGCTGAACACTCGGTGTTTGCTATTTGCTCAGTGAACGCCCTGTGATGGAAATGTTTGAGTGCCAGTGGCCCAGGCTTGCAGATGTAGAACAACATAATTGTTGTTCGACATAATCCCCCCTCCATCCAAGAATAGTGCAGAGTAGAACCCAAATCATCCTTCTTTCCCAGCTGCTCAGCTAAAACAGTTACTTTGCTTTGGAAAATAAGCAAGCAAGTATTTATTTGCAAATATCACCCAGTCTAAGAGGTTGATGACTAGAGAAAGAGAGCCAGAGAGTTACTTGGAGTGATCTTGGTTACACATGACATTCAGAAGGTGGGAAGGGAGGAGAGAGAGAGAGAATGAGATGTGGAGAGAAGAGCGCTGAGAGACTGAGAAAGAAAAGGGACCCTGGAGTTGTTAAGAGAGTAAATCCTAAGAGTTCTCAGTGCAGAAAAATTTTGTCTGTTTTTTTAAATTTTGTATTGATATGAGATGATGGCTCTTCTCTAAACTTACTGTGATTATCACTTCACGATGGCAAATCAAATAGATATGCTATACCTTAAACCTAAACAGTAGGGTCGTCTAGTCAAGGCTATGGTTTTTCCAGTAGTCATGTATGGATGTGAGAGTTGGACTATAACGAAAGCTGAGCACAGAAGAATTGATGCTTTTGAACTGTGGTGTTGGAGAAGACTCTTGAGAGTCCCTTGGACTGCAAGGAGATCCAACCAGTCTATCCTAAAGGAGATCAGTCCTGGATGTTCATTGGAAGGACTGATGTTGAAGCTGAAACTCCAGTATTTTGGCCACCTGATGTGAAGAGCTGACTCATTTGAAAAGACCCCTATGTTGGGAAAGATTGAAGGCAGGAGGAGAAGGGGACAACAGAGGATGAGATGGTTGGATGGCATCACCGACTCAGTGGACATGAGCTTGGGTAAACTCCAGGAGCTGGTGGTGGACAGTGAGGCCTGGCATGCTGTGGTTCATGGCGTCACAAAGAGTCGGTCACGACTGAGCAACTTAACTAAACTGAAACAGTAGGTCAACTATGTCCCGATAAAACTGGAAGGAAAAAAGAAAGTAGAGAAAAGGGAAAAAGAAGAAGGACACCAGTAGTGGTTTAAGTACTGGTGTGAACACCACTGGCTGCAGGTGGACCAGGGAGAGAAGAGTTGATGTCCACCCTTTGTTGCTGTGTTATGTCCAATTCTTTGTGACTCCATGAACTGCAGCACACCAGGCTTCTTTGTCCTTTGCTATCTCTGGGCGCTTGCTCAAACCCATGTCCGCTGAGTCGGTGATGCCGTCCACCATCTCATCCTCTGTTGCCTCCTCCTCCCGCCCTCAGTCTTTTGCAGCATCAGGGTCTTTTTGATGTCTACCCTTGCCCTTCACTCTTCTCACTGTGAATCGAAAAGGACTTTCCAGATGGTTCCAGATGGGTATCTTTCTGCCTTTAGAAGCTGTTTCCTACTGACAAGGGAAAGAATCAAAGCAATTCAATTTCGCTTACAGTCATGTTTATTTGCTTTGAGTCCATGGGGACTCTTCTAGCTAAAGTGAAGACAGGTTTGGAAACGGCCGACTTCTCCAGATTTAGTTCTGCTGGCTTGCCAAAGGGGGGCGGGTGACACATCGCTTGTCCCCGGCTCAGTCTTTTGGGCTTATTGTTGGACCAGAGTCTCGGAAGCCTCCCAGCCAGCAGTAGGGGGCAGAAGTGGTCTGTGGCCTGACTGAGCTGAGCCGCTTGGAAGCAGAGATGGGCGCCAGGTGGCAGCAGAACTCCGGGAACGGGTATGCAAAGTGACGGTCTCCAGACAGGAGGGACCTCCACCTACGCCATGCCCCTGCCTCCACTCAGGATCCCAGATACTGTGTTCATGATAAATGAAATCCTCTCCTGTGTTAACAATTCCCTGAAACAGATGATTTCGTTTCCTTGTTATCTAACTCCTTCATGGTCAGAAAGTTTAAAAAATCTCATGTATCCAATCTGTGTTTTCCTTGTTGAATTCTAACTCACTGACTGCCTCACTATATTAGATGTAAGGGCAGATCCACCAGGCCATATTTCTAACTTCCCCCATAGGGCTTTTTTGGGGGGATCAAAGTATATGAATAATTAAAAAGGATTAAAAATAACAAATATCGTAGATTGAATGTGTCCCTAAGGAACTGTATGCTTAAGACCCTCAGTGTGGTCCAAGAGACCTAATTAGTTTTTCTTTTGTAAATGATGGAGGGAGAAGAACCAAGAGACCCCAGATTTTCCTCCCTGATGGTTTTAGGTTAGGAATGGACGCACACTCACAAACCTCTCCCTGGGCCCCCATCCCTCTGGGGGTATCTGCACGAGTTGCAGAGAAGCCTTGCTCTCAGGAGAGCCGGTCGGTACAGAGCACATCTGGCCACCATGCTGCTTGCTCAGTGCCCTGGCTTCTCCAGGTGGTCCTGCAGTCTGGGCTCCAGCTGCCTTCCTCTGACACTGGATGGGGTGGAGAGGCCACCATCCACTAACCAGCCAGAAGTGGGGTGACCAGCTTCTAAGCTATCCTTCCTGACCCCCCCCCCCCCACCAGCCCCTGACCCAGAGTGACAGCCCCATCGTGCTGCTCCGAGATAAGCATGCCATTCGGAAAACTCTCACGGCCCTGGGCTTGGACCACAAGCCGGAGACCATCCAGCTCATCACCCGGGACATGGTCCGGGAGCTGATGTGAGTACCCAGGGCACGGAGCCCTTCTCCTGAGGACCTGTGTGGGGAGATGGGGAGCCCACCTGGTCTCATCCTGTCACTGTGGACCCCACCTCTTTCCTATTCTTTTCCTGTCTTTTGTTTCTTGGCTCCCATTTCTTCTCCATTTTGACCTGCTTCTCCCTGCCTTGTATCTATTCCTGCCACTGCCCTCGATTCCCAGCCTCTTTCTTCTGGCTGCTGTGGGTCCTATGGGGCTGGTAGAGGGTGGGTGCTTGGGGGAGGGGGTCCCTTCTGAGCCCTGAATAGTGCACTTGGTTGGGGAAATGTTCAGATGAGTCACTTCCTTCTGGCCGCGTCAAGAATCCAAAGCAAAGGAAAAACTGACCAGATGCCTAATTAGTCCCAGGGCTTCTTCCCAGGCTCTGAGGCCAGAAGAGGAAATTCCCCACAGCTCTGGGGTTCCTTTGGGATTAGCTCAGCACAGCTTCCTGACTGGAGCGGTCCCCTTGCTAGGACCCACTCGTGTGGGGTTATGCCCAGCTCTGCTTGGAACCCCTCGTGTGGGGTTATGCCCACTCAGTCACATGAAGGGAGCCAGCCCTGTCCCTCAGATGTTTAGCTCTTCTGCTGGTGCTCCACGCTCTAAACCGTTCTTGCAACGATGGCTCCACTCACTAAACACTTGAATTCCCAGAAAATGCATCCTCTGTCATGATCTGGGGAGGCACGGCTGGTCCATTGGTCCAAGAGCACTGTCTGGTCCGCTCTGGCATTGAAGGGCCAGATGCGGTAGTGGCCCTGCAGACACGCTGGTGGCCCAAGAAAGGGCTCCTTCTCTTTCTTTATTTATTTGTATACTTAGCTGTGTCGGGTGTTAGTAGGGGAACACGGGATCTTCCTTGAGTCCTGAGGGATGTCAGGCTCCAACGTGTACAGGCTGAGTAGATGCCGTGTGCCGGCTTAGTTGCTCTGCCAAATGTGGGATCGTAGTTTCCAGCCAGAGAAGGATCCAGCGTCCCCTGCATTGCAAGGCAGAGTCTTTTTTTTTTTTTGTAATTGAAGGATAATTGCTTTACAGTATTGCACTGGTTTCTACGAAACATCAACATGAATCAGCCATAGGTTTACACATGGCCCCTCCCACTTGAACATCCCTCCCACCTCTCTCCCCATCCCACCCCTCTAGGTTGTTACTAAGCCAAAGCAAATTCTTAATCACTGGATGACCAGAGAAGTCCCAAGGGCTCCTTCTTGGACTGGTCCAGTCCTAAAAACACGTTGGAGACGAAGTCTCGGGTAACTTGATAGGGTTCAGAGAACAGCATGAGATGCTGTCTCAGATTCACATCATTCCTGGTCATTCCAGATCCCAGGCTGCTTGGGGCCACAGCACCCAGGGAAACACACGGTCTTGGCTAAGCCTCAAGTCCACTTACTCGTTTGTCCACCTCCTGGACACCTCCCCCCAACCAGTTTTATGGGATGAGGTTTCACTTCCTGCCTCAGACCATCTGCGTCTCTTTGCCATGTGCCTGTTAAACCGCCTCACCCAGAAGCAGCTTTATTCCCACTCCTCTGCTCCATCGTTAATGTTTGTCATCTGTTTGTAATCATTATAATTACCTATTGGTTTGTTGAATGCGTTGGGCAGCTAGAAAAGTCTGTAGACATGTCTGTGGCTATTGTTGATCAGAGATTTTAATTAACATTTAGGGTTCAAAGCTTCCCTCTGGGCTGGAGGCACAGGGATGTTTTTGTCTCTCCCTGGCCTCTACTTCATCCTTGTCTGGCGTCCCCTTGCCCTTTTTATGTCATTCTTGAGGAATCATCTATTTTAAAAGTTCAGTTTGGCAGCTTTATTTTGAGTCCTCACGCTGTGCCCAGTGCCGGGCCAGAGACTGGGCTGCCCCTGGGGTTAAGACGAAGCCTGAATCCCGAAGGAGCTTGTGATCTAGCAAGGGAAACAGACGTTGCCCACAACACAGGCAGGGACAGTGGAGGGGAGGAGGGGGACTGTGCGTGTGTACATGGGGCGGGTGCAGAGCAGGTAACGCGCGAACTTAAAATGTCCCTTTTTCAGCCGGTGATGCTACTCTGCCCTTGCCTGAGACCGCTTCTCCCCAGTGGGCCCGTTCCGCTGTCTCTCCTGCCCCGTTCTCTGAGGCAGGCTGGGCAGTGACGGGGGTGAGGTAGAGAGCCGAGCTGCCTGCAGAGTAGTGCTAAGAGCTCCCCACCCTACCCCTGCCTGATTTTATTCATTCTTTGTGTCAGCATTCCCACCAAGGACCCTTCTGGGCAGTCCCTCATCATGAGCCCTGAGGAGTTCGAGCGGATCAAATGGGCATCCCACGTCCTGACTAGAGAAGAACTCGAGGCCAGGGAGCAGGCCGTCAAGAAGGAGAAGGAAGCCACTGTGGTAGCTACCCCCGACCCCATCTTTGCAGAGTGGCGGTTGAAGAGACGGGCTGGGGAGAGGCCGGCCTCCCCCAAGACTGGGAGCTTTAGTTAGGGGACCCATGTGCTACAGAAGATGTGTTCCAGAATAAAGATCTGGCGGGAGCAACTGTGGGGCCAGGAGAGGGGTGAGGACGCCAGGCTGGGAAACCTCTGGGCTATGGCAGTGTGATGGGGTGATGTGAAAATCATCTGAGGTCACCCATGGCGGCCAGGCTCGTGCCCAGGGCATGGAGCCCTGGAGTAAGTCCCCGCTGACTCCAGCGTGGCTCCCGCAGGACACAGTGACCACACGCAAGAAGATCATGAAGCAGAAGGAAATGGTTTGGAGGAACAACAGGAAGCTCAGCGACCTGGAGGAGGTCGCTAAGGAGAGGGCCCAGAACCTTCTGCAGAGAGCCAACCAGCTGCGGATGGAGCAGGAGGAAGAACTGAAGGATATGAAAAAGGTGGGCTCTCCATTCTCCTTCCCTCATCTCTCTCTCTCTCTTTTTTTTTTTTCCTGACCTTGCCACTCAGTATGCGGGATCTTAGTTCTCCAACCAGGGACTGAACTCATGCCTTGTGCAGTGGAAGAACAGAGCCCTAAGCACTGGACCACCAGGGAGTGCCTCCCTCCTCTTATCTCTTATTCACACACCTGAAAGCGTGGGCTAGAGACGGGGTGCAGGGTTGAAAGGTGAGGGGCTGGCCTTGGCCGGCGAGTGGGGTAGACTGGGTCGGGGAGAGCTGTGCCTCCCAAGTGTCGCTGTGTGACCTTAGCTAGTCACTTGCACTCCCTGAGCCCAGCTTTCTTCGTTTGTGAAATGAGGGTGGTGAAATGACTAAGCAGCATTATGAGGATGAAATATGCTAATATATGGGAGATACTTTGCGAACTGTGGACTGAAAAATACATATTACTTGTATCTTTATCCTGCTAGTTCAATTCTGGCCACAGACGGTGGTGCGGACAACGGGGTTCTTTTTGTTGTGCTCAAAGTGCTTCCTTTAGCCGAGAGCATAAAGACCAGAGGCTCATTTGAATTCTATTGTGTTACTCATTTGCATGTGGTTCACTTCCTGGCCAAACGAAACATGCTGACTCCCCAACCTCTTCGTCTAGAGTTTCTGTTTCTCAGGTAAATCTTCTCTCCTTAATGCTTCCTTTTATTTTCCAAAGCTTTTACTCCACAGCTCTTATTGATGGCTCGTGATTTTTTCATCTCCTTATGTGTCAGGTTGGGCTCTTCTAGCTTAAAAATCTAGTGGCTTGGCCTCTGCAAGAATGCTTATTTTCCTGAAGGGTAGAATGGGAGGGGCCTTCATTGGAGGTTCAGGGGTCCCTAAGGGTACCCTTAAAGTTCTAAAGTTTTATGGAAATTTTGTGTGTATAGATGTAAGTGAATTTTATGGAGGAGAAGACCCATAACTTTCATCTTATTCCCAAAGAGTGATCCATGACCACCCCTCCTCTGCCCCAAACACTAGACCCAATACCCTGAAAGATGCTATTGCTTTTCTGGGCTTGTGAGCACACTTAATAGGATTCTGCTCCCATTTCTCCACATTCCAGCTTCCACATCCCTGTGGTGCATCACCACCCCCACCCCCACCCCCCATCCTTACTCCCAGATCGAGTACTACAAGTTCGATTCCCCTCTCCAGATCATCCTCAATGCCAAGTGCCATGCCATCCGGGATGCCCAAATTCTGGAGAAGCAGCTGATCCAAAAAGAACTGGATGCAGAGGAGAAGCGGTTGGATCAGATGATGGAGGTGGAGCGGCAGAAATCTATTCAAAGGCAGGAGGAGCTAGACAGAAAGAGGAGGGAGGAGAGAATCCGGTAAAGACGTGGTTTTGGCATTTCCCTATCTAAGTCTTTTCCATGTGTCTTTAGGTCCATATAGCCTTGCAGTTATCATCCTTTGTTATTATCACAAAACTTTTATGGAATGATTCAGAAAGCCACAGAACTTCTTTTTTTTTTTTTTAAAGAACTTTTTTTTTATTGTGTATTGAAGTATAGCCAGTTAACAAACAATATTGTGATAGTTTCAGGGGAACCACGAAGGGACTCAGCCATACATATACATGTATTCATTCTCCCCTAAACTCTCCTTGCATCCAGGCTGCCACATATCACTGAGCAGACTTCTATGTGCTATACGGTCGGTCCTTGTTGGTTATCCATTTTAAACACCGAGGTGTGTACATGTCCAATCCCAAACCACTATAGAACATCTTGAAGCTTGTTTCTAAGATCACAACAGGTGTTTCACAATATGGCCCTGATTCACCCTCGTTTTGCATCATTTCTTGCCATCCATTCTAGGAGGCTTTCCTTCATGTCCCCCAGCATGTGAGGTCTTCATGTACTCTCATTATTTTTTTGTTGGTCCCTCGGCTTTGAATACCCTCTCTTTCCTTTCTTCCTCTCCCACCCTGGAAAATGCTCTCTCTTCCTTCATAACATGGCCTTGCTATCCCCTCCCCTGAGAAACCTCCCTGACCTCACTGGGCAGCTTCGAGCCTCCCTTCTCCGGGCCTCTGCCCCGTGTTTATGGTCTGACACTCCCCTCCTTGTGCTGCGGCTCCCTGGCCCTCACCTGGCTGTATGCTCACTGAGGACAGGGTCCCTGTCTTCTTTCTGTAGCTTCTGACCTCCCAGAATGTTTGGACTGTAGTAAATGCCTAATACAAGTTAGAATGAATCAATTCAATCCCCTCCATTTTGCAGGAAAGGACAGGTCCCGAAGCAGGTAAATTATAGAATCATAGTGTCCCAGATTTAGAATGCCAACCGTATAATACAGGAATTACCCCTATAAATAGTCCTTGTTAAAAAAAAAGTCCTTGTACCACACTGAAGGGCAGTTCTTTCTCCCCATTTGTATTCTGTTCTCTTGTGCCATTCATCTCTGTACTTCTAGCAGGCACCTGGTGCACTACAGTAGGCTCCCATGAAAAGTTTATTTCATGGCTAAATGGCTCTTCGTCTTTTGCATGAATAGTTCCAATGAAGGGGAAATCCCTGCCTTTTTAGGCAGCTCTAATAATTTGACCTGGTCCTTATGTTGAGTCTAAACCTGCTTCCATGGAACTCTTTTTGCTCGTCGCTCCAGTGTATTTCACCTGGAGTCATGAAGCCATTCAACAGTTCTATCTGAATGTCAATGTCTTACTCCTTCCCATAGATACTTGTGCTAATCTGTGTCTTCTCCCACTCTCCCAGCCTTTACTCATATATCATGGGATCTCGATGCGTCCCAGGTTGTTGACATCCCAATAACACAGAGGGAGTCACTGGCTGCACTGACCCTAGAATCTGGTTTCTCTGCTTTCTACTGTTGAGCAAGGGTGCTGCTGAGTGTAGAGAATTCCTCAGACTCAGCCTGTGCGCCAGCAGCCGACGGTCTTAAAAGATGAGATTGGATCTAAGAAGGGCGGGTAACTAACTAGGCATGGAAGATGGAGTGGGACAAAAAGATACATTGGGTGAGAGCAGATGCTCCGGAGAAAGGAGTCACTGTGGCCTCCTAGACTCTGGAGAATCAGCTTGGGAAGGTCGCTCCCTCTGATTACTCTGGGAAGTTTGGGGAGCTGGTAGGCTTTCAGAAGATCTCAGGTACTGAAAGGAGAAGGTGTCTTATGATATGGGCACACTCTTGGACAAACAAATGAAGGGACGGAATCTCAGGAAGGGTGAGCCCCAGAATGAGGAGCTTGGAAGAGAAAGGACTGACCCTGCTCATGAAACAGTGATATTTAGGGGGCACTCATCACGTTGTCCCTGCAACGCCTCCCGTCATGGCTGTCGTTTGGGTGGAGGTTAGAACAGAGGCCTGGACTCCTGGTTTCTAAGACACTGTGGCACTGTTTCTTCCCAGAGGAAGACGGCACATTGTGGAACAGATGGAAAAGAACCGGGAGGAGCGATCGCTGCTTGCTGAGCAGCGGGAGCAGGAGAAGGAGCAGTTGCTGGAATACATGGAAAAGCTCCAAGAGGAGGATCTAAGGGTAACAGGGCTGCACAGATCAGGCCAAGTTCTGCCAGCAATGGCAACAAAGCCCTCCGACACTGTGGGGTTGGAGGGTGTGGGCTGATGTTCCATCAGACACATGCTCATTTCACAACATCATTGCCATCAACTTTTTATTGCCATATGAGACACTTGTTTGGCTGAGGCCTCATGGGGATGAGCAGTGATTTTGGGTACTGTCCCTGCCTTCCTGGGACTTGGGGTCCAGGATTGACATATCTATGTGAATGGACACACCAAGGAAAGATTGCTGCATGCTTTGCACAAATAAACATAGGGATGTTTTATTGTCTTCCCTCAATTATCTTGGGATATTGTACACTTTGTACATGAACAGCAGCTGTCTTTTAGTTCCAGGCTCCCTGCTGTTGCCTCACCCAAGGTACGTTGCATCCCAGTGTCATTAATTGCGTGGACAAGCCAAACCTTTTTTCCTGTTAGCCTAACTAAAATTAGTAGGCATCTCCATTGCATAAGAAATGAATAACATACCTACTCAAACCAAGTAGGCTTAAAGAAATCTCCTTCTACTGGGGACTTATTGGATCTTTTGCAATATATGAAAGCCTCTGACTTAGAGAGGAGGTACAATGGCCAGCATTTGGAGCATTTGTTCTTTTCCCCCTCAATTTTTTACTTTTGAAAAATTTTGCACACGTAGACAAGTTGAAAGAACTTGTACCACACCCATCAGTGCTTCACCTATATTTAGCGATTGTTAATTCCATGGAGTTGCTTGTCTCTTTTAGATGTATATACATATTTTGTTATTATTAAGCTATTTGAAAGTAAGTTTCCCATATCTTGACACTTTGCCTAAATACTTCCACTTGTATCTCTGAAGAACAAAGACATTGGCTTACTTGTCAGCAGTACCATTATCACATCCCCCCATCAAAATTTCGAGCCCGATGATTCTACAATATCATTTAATGTTTAATTTATGTTTGAATTTACCCAGTTGTTCCATAAATGTGTTTTCCATGGTTTTCTCTCTTCCAAACTAGGATTCAGTCAGGGATTGAATCAATCAGGATTCACACACTGTATTCACCTAAGTCTGTTTTGATCTGGAAGAGTTTCCTTATTCATTCATTAATTTTAATAGCACTGATAATTTGAAGTACTCAGGCCAGCTGATTTGAAGAATGCCCCATGTTCTGATTTGCCAGGTTATTGCCTAACGGTGCATTTACCTCATGGAACATGTATTCTTTTATTGTTCTCCTGTTCCCCCCTGTTTATGATGACTGAGTCGTCATCTCCCAGTGCATTTGATGGTGAGGAGTGACAGGGGGCCTGGATGGGTCTCATGGGGACCTCATAATTATGAAGGCTTCTCAGAGCACCTGCAGTCTAAGGTACAGTGTGAGAAGTGGGAGGCAGATCACTGGATGGCTAGGGAAGATGAGGGGGCAGGCAGCTTTGTGAGCTGCTTGAGAAGGGGACCAACAAGGCCAAGATAGACAAGACCTGGCCAAGCTCCTGGTTCACGAAAGGGCCAGAAAGGACAGGTCTGGGGTAGACATGCCAAATACTGGAGAATCCAAATTCATTGTGGGGAATGGACATGGGTGGGCTCATTGAGGGGGCTTTCCAGGGGGCTCAGTGGTAAAGAATCCACCTGCGATGCAGAAGATGCAAGCGACGCCACAGGTTCGATCCCTGGGTTGGGAAAATCCCTTGGAGGAGGGCATGGCAACCCACTCCAGTATTCTTGCCTTGGAGAATCCCATGGACAGAGGAACCTGGCGGGCCACAGTCTGTAGGGTCGCACAGAGTCAGACACAACTAAAGCCACTGGGGGCACACGCACGGGCTCACTGAGAGAGTTCCAGGTGTCACTGGGTCAGCGGCTACTCAGGTGTTATGTCATTGTCCTTTTCCTGTCCTTCTAGGCACTCCCTGAGTCTCCAGGAAGTATTATGGGGCAGAGCTAGAAGCCCTGCCTCACCAATTTAGAACTGCGTTAACTCTTTGCAAACAGTGCATGGAATTCTCCAGGCCAGAGTACTGGAGTGGGTAGCCTTTCCCTTCTCCAGGGGATCTTCCCAACCCGGGGTGAAACCCAGGTCTCCCGTGTTGCAGGTGGGTTCTTTACCAGCTGAGCCACCAGCGAAGCCCCATGGTGGTGGAGGGGCAGGTTTCCCCACCTTGCTAGCAAGATGGAGAGAGTGCGGGAGTCTCTGTGGGGTTGCTTTGCAATGGCTTCAAAGATGAGAAACAGGGAAAGTTCTCTGGTTTCTTGAAAATGAACCCACAAAAACAAACCAAAAAAAGTCAATAAGCAAAAAAGTAAGTAAATGAATACATGATTATATGTATGTCATAGATTAGAAGTCAGCAGCTTTTCTAGCTTTGAAGGTCAGTGGGTTTAAATACTGCTTTAAATGGTAAAGAACCCACCTGCCAATGCAGGTAGACCTAAGAGACATGGGTTCGATCCCTGAGTTGGGAAGATGCCCTGGAGAAGGGAACGGAAACCCACTCCAGGATTCTTGCCTGGATAATCCCATAGACAGAGGAGTCTGGTGGGCTACAGTCCATGGAATTGCAAGAGTCAGACGAAGGATGAACACTTTTGCTTTCACTTTGAATACAATGTCAGGCCTAAAGCTGATGGGGAAAAAAAACGTAGGAAGGAAAGGAAGAAAGGGAGATGAGGAAGAAAGGCTGTGGAGCTGGAGCAGCAGGAGAGGGACTGTGGAGGGAGCCCGGAGGCTGGCGCGTGGAGGCTGAGGGAATGCTGGCGGTCACGACTCGGGCGCCTCATGGCCCTGGCGGGAGGCAGCCGGCACTGTGCTTTGCTGGCCAGGAGGCTCCCTGGAGGAAGGACCCTGAACAGGGCAGTGAGCCCCGCTGGGGGAGGGCCGGCAGCGTCGCCTGGGATGCATTAGGGCAGAAGCTGGGCTGACAGGACTGGAAGACTAGTGGGGGTTAGTCTTTGAAGAAGTGGAGGCATCTGGGAGCAGTGTGGGAAGTGGGGTGAGTTGATGGGTAGGAGAATTTGAAGCAAGGAGTCCAAGCTTGAGAGGATAGGGAGGACCCAGCACAAGATCCCAGTGCCTCTCTGCATCAGGGCCTGGGGATGTGCTCAGAAGTGGTCTGACCACCGGGGCTTTCAAAGGCTCCAGCTCATTTCTTAGAAGGGATCTTGTCACTCATGATGATGAGGACTCTGACCTCCATTACTCATTGTGCTTCTGAGATTTTTTTTTTTTCTCTTTCTCACTTGCCTCTCACCTTTCCCCCATCTTCCCTGCCTCATTATTGAGTATTTGCTGTTTTCCTCTCAGTATTGGGAGAGAGAAGACATGTGACACACAGTCCCTGTCCTCTGGCTGGGACAGAATGAACACTCAGGAAGTGGGTGGGACCCACAGAGCAGCATATAATCAAATCTCAGGAGGTATATCACCATCCTAGGTGCAAAGGAAGTTCAGAAATGCAGAGAGAATGAAAACTTGGGGCAATCAAGTCAGAGTTCCAGAGACAGTTGGAACTTTAATTAAGATAGACCAGGTTCCAAAATTCTGGACTCTGGAGTCTATTAGCTCTATGATCCTGGGCGAGCCACTTAAACTCTGGGCCTCAGTTTTTCCATTTGCATGAGAAAGATAACAAGACCTAATTTTCAGGGTTTGGGGGTACGTTTAGGTGTTAGAGGTAGGTTATATAAAGTTATATAAAGTACTTTCTGTTCATAAGAATAGACTTCCCTGAGATGTCCCTGGTGGTTCAGTGGTTAAGACTCTGCACTTCCACTACAGGGGACAAGGTTTCCACCCCTGGACGGGAAACTAGGATAATGTGGCATGGCCAAAAAAAGGTACTCAATTAGTGTAATACTTTATTGTTTTAATTATCACTATTGAACACAGACCAAAAGTTTGGGTTAGAATAGGAGAAGGGAGTTGAAGGCAGGAGGAAAACATTATGAACGAGTGATGGGATTTTGCCTGACGTGTGGGAGACACTGGGTAGAATTTTAAGAGCCTTTGCTCCTTGAGACTGAACAGAGATCAACAGTGTCAAGGCTGCCACAAAGTCAAGGTGGATGAAGATTGCCAAGGGCTGTTTGGCTAGAAGAGGTCATTGATGACCCTGCAAAGAATAGTTTGAATCAAGGGCAGTAATGAGAGCTAGACTGCAGAGCATGCATCTCTCTCCCTGCCTCCATCCATGTCTCTCCATCTTGGTAGGCCAGTATCTTTCTGTCTCTCTTCTTCTTCTCTGAGGCTCTCTCCCTTTGGTGGCAGGACCTGGAACAGAGGCACCAGCAAAAGCTGAAGATGCAGGCTGAGATCAAACGCATCAATGATGAAAGCCAGAGGCAGAAAGCAGAGCTGCTGGCTCAGGAGAAGCTGGCCGACCAGATGGTGATGGAGTTCACCAAGAAGAAGATGGTAGGGACCCGCCTTCTGATGCCTGGGACTTCTGAGCAGGAATGGAATGTCTGTCTCAGGGAGGGGCAGGCGTGTGTCCCGAGTGAACTCAACAGAAGGCAGCCCTGTCATCAGCCTGAAAATTCACGTCCTTAGTTCAAGGGCCTGGCTTCTTTTTCCCTTTCTACTTGGCCAGTCTCCTTGTTCCTTATCAGAGAATAGCCTGCAAAGGACACCCTAATTAGGGTGTTATTATCCTTGTTAATACCTTTGACTGGAAGTTGGGATGAGGGTCAGGTTCAGGCAGGGAAGAAAATTAAAACTATTGGTGAAAGTGAAGATTTTGTGGATTCCTCATGACCTGGATAATTATATCTCCAGTAATTATGAGTCAGCTGCCCCGTAAATTTCTTGTGAAAATTCCTATCTTGGGCATTCTTTACTTGGTGCTAGATTTGGAAAGCAGAGCCTTCCACTACCAGAACAAATACACTATGGAGCAGAGAGCAATGCATGAGAACAGTTCCAGGGAGATATGCAGCTCGTGAATGCATGGATTCTTTCTGGGGCGATGGCACGATTGGGGTCTATGAGGAATGGAGGGCAAAGAAAAGCTTTTAGACATGGTCTAGATGGAGTGAACATGGATTTCTGTCAGAAGAGAAGGGAGGAAAGTTACTCAATTCCTCATGTGGTAGTCCTGTCTCCCCTCCTAGCTTTGAGGTTCTGTGATGACACCATACTTCTCTAAGGAAGTCTTACTGGGGGAGGGTGTAGGTACAATTGGAAAAGGCATGTTTGATATACCTCAATACTCCAAATGCAAACCACAGAGAATGAAGCTCAACAAAGCTTGTTTATTGGTTCTGGCTTCTTCATTGAATGCCAGGTATATGCAGGCAACAGTGAGAAGGCAAGACTTGGAACATGGATTTCTGCATAATAACGATCATACCACTACCATTTATCAAGTGCTTAGTCTGTGCACGGGGCTGTGTGCTAAGTGCTTCGTGTGTGTCGTCTCATCTAATCACTCACGTCTTGCAAACCTATTGACTGAGTGATGGAAGAGATCCTAAATGCCTGAGTGTCTGTCCAGTTATCCGACTAGGCTGAACGTACCTAGACTAATACCATGTACCTCATATGGACGTCAGCAACTGTTCCTGAGTGGACGGTGGTGGTGATAATAAGCCAATCACGTGTAGGAGTTGTGAACAGGTCTGTTGGCTGCAGCAGAGAGTCTGGTGGCTGTGATGGGAAGTGAGGTGGTGAGATGATGGAGAGCTGAGAGCAGCTGCTGGGGAGGCCTTGGACCTCGAGCAGAGCTGCAAGTGTGGGATGATGAGGAACTGCCCTAGATTTCTGACCAGGAGAGGACAAGGTGTGACCTTCATACACAGAAAGGTCATCAGTAGAAGCAGCTGAGAGAGGTGGAGACTGGCAAAGGGATTGGGCTCTTGGGCATGACCACAACCCACCATGTCTCCAAGGATATCACAAGCCCCTCCCTGACCTCGTAGTGGTCACCCCTCTTACAGCTGAGGCGGCCCCTAAAGGCTGCCCCGAAGGCAGAGATTGGTGGTGGAAGCCTCCAGAGTTCCCGTCCCTGCCATATAGGGCAACGCTGAGCAAAGAGACCAGCTTGACACACATCCAGCCTTGCACACTTCACAGCAGATAACTCACTGCGGTGCACAGCAGTCTGGACAGGTAGAACAAGGCTAAGGAACATTCTTTATGGGATGATCACATTCCCACCCAACTGAAGCCATTTGTCTTACGACTACTCCAGAATGGTAGTTGGGAAGCTGCATGTGGAAAGCTTTTAGGGATATGTCTGCTCTTTCAGAGAAGTGGCAAAGGGAACTATTTTGATGGTTCACTCCTTAGGTAACTGCCAACCAACCACTGGGGGACCGGACATCACATGGCTGGCCATTTGCCCAAGGACTAATGAGATAACTTCCACCTGCTGTACTTTATAAGACAGGCAGGAAGCCACAGTTATTATTTCTAGAAACTTGGCCCAGAGGCCTTGCAACTTGGAAATTGTGAAGTAGAGGACAGAGCATGAAGTCTGGGCTCACCTGTATGTGAATCTGTCTGGTGGTTTACAAGCTGTGCAGTCTTGGGACAGGACCCTTGAATTCTATGAGTGTTAGTTTCTTCATATCTACTATCTATCTCATGAGACATTGTGAGGACCCTCTGGGATATTACAGGAGAAGACATTTTGTAAGCAGTGAAGCATCTTACAAATGCTGATTAGTTTCATAGCTATGCATTGCTAGTCATGTTGCCCTACATTAAAAGGAGTCACACAATTATCCTTCAATTAAAAAGCAATTATCCTTCAATTAAAAATAAATAAATTTTAAAAAACAGAGTCAGGGAGGGGTAGGGGGCATACTGAACAGTCAGGGGCTTTCTGCAAGGCTGGGGCAGATGGGAGCCATTCTCTGAGGTCTTTTCTTCCTGGCAGGCCCGAGAAGCAGAGTTTGAGGCTGAGCAGGAGAGAATCCGGAGGGAGAAAGAGAAGGAGATCGCCCGCCTGAGGGCCATGCAGGAGAAAGCCCAGGATTACCAGGCAGAGCAGGTACCTGTTCGATCTTGGCTTCCCTCAGCCCCTCACACCTCTTAACTACTCCTTTGACAGCCTGTCAAATGGCCTCCAGGGTGAGGGTATAGAAGAGAGGATGCAAGGTACCTCAGCTTCAGTAGTTTGAGGATGGAGGGGTGGGCCCGATCCCACACCTGTGGCAGCAAGCATTGAGGAGTGCATTACCTGCCTAACATCCAAGAGAAAGTTTTTGCTGCCACATAAAGAACTTTCAACCCTAACTAACTATTGAAATGTGTCACGGGAGGAGGAAACTGTGGCATCTCCATCATTAGCAGTTTTTAAAATTAGAAGCAATTGCAGGACTGCCTGGAGGTGTTTGAGGTATGGGGAAGAACTGGGATAAGCTGGTGGGGGCGTGGGGAGAAGGACAAGATGACCCTTCAGGGTATCTTCTGACCTGAAAATTCTATGACAGGTTTCCGTTTGTTCTCTCGTAGCCTAACCTTGTTGCTAGAGAAATTCCGGAGGCTTCTCGAAGCAGGCTGGGTCAGAGTCTGGAGCAGGCATCTTCCTAAAGGGACCTGAGGGTGTTTTTGGCACCCTCACTGGCCTCCCCCACCCTCTCCTTTCTCAGGATGCCCTGCGGGCCAAGCGCAATCAGGAGGCCGCCGACAGAGAGTGGCGCAGAAAGGAGAAGGAAAACGCACAGAAGAAGATGGAAACGGAGGCCAAGCTGCGGAAAAGTCGACTTGAACAGGTGGCTTTCAAGGAGCACACTCTGGCTGTTCAGGTGCAACGGGACCGGGATGAGTTCGAGAGGATTCTTCGGTAGGAGGGGCTGGGGCCCTCGGCTTCCTTTCTGACTACTGTGGCAGGGATGGTCCGTACTGGGTGGACGGGTGCTTTCTTGCATGTCCATAGGCAGATGCACCGCCACCGTGACCGCGTTGGTGCGAGGCATTCTACCTAGATGCGTGATTGAAATATTTCAAAGACACCTGAGCCAAGAATTTTATTAGAGAATAGAAATATATTAATAGCACCTGGAAGTGTTAAAGGAATTGGGGATTATTGGGATTATTTACCCAGGAGCATTAAAAACATGAATAAAGATATAACTCTGGTCCCTTCTGCCATCCCCGTCTCCATGTTCCTCAGCAAGTTTGGACTGAAACTGCAGCAGGAGAGGTTGAGGACAGAGAGAGAGAGAACTCACATGCTCTGGGTTGCAAGTCATCAGAGCAGGGCTTTAAGGGAGGTCTTTGCCATTCATTTGATAAATATATATTAAGCACGTAAATTCAAGGCTCTGTGCTGGATGCTGTGGTCTTGATATTAGAGATGAATAAAACACCATCCTTTCCCATTCATGTAGGAAGGATGTTAAAGACTCATATCTGGATGGACTTCACCTATATGCATCCATCTTTCCTGCCTTACCAGCTTGTTATCCTTTTATTTTTGTTCTCTCTGTTGGCTCAGTGATAATTCCAGCCATAAGTAGAAGTTAAGTGTTCACATCTCTCACTGTCTCTGTCTCCCTCCTCCTCCCTCGAGGCAGGCAGCAGTCTCAGAGGCTTTACTTTCTACTAGTTAGATCTGCCACCACCAGATCGGGCCCCTGTGGTGTTCTCCTAGCTCTAACTGTTTTGGCCTAACTGGGAAAGACTCTCTTCTTACTCTGGTTCAGACTCTATAAGATTAAAAAAAAAAAAAAAGGAAACAAACTGGGGAATTCCCTGGTGGTCCAGTGGTTAGGACTCAGCACTTCACTGCCTTGTTGGGGAATTAAGATCCTGCATGCTGCGAAGTGCAGCCAAGCTTAAACCAAAAAAGATTAAACAAATAAAGGAAACAAATGAAATTTGAATTGGGGCAGAGTGGTACAGATCGCAGAAATTATGCTTAGATAGGCAGAGATTGAGTGGAGCAGCCCAGCTTTCTTGGTCTGCATGCTCTCGATCCTTCTTGCCACTGCCCCAGTTAGTTGCATGCAAGACCAGGCCCCTGGATCCCTGGGCAGAGACGAGACAGAACAGTCTATAGGAACCGTCGTCCTTGCCGGAGCCAAGTTCTTGGACTTGTATGGGAGTGTGGACCCTCAGCCTACCTCCATTGGCTGTGATGCCCTTTGGCTTTGGAGCTCTCCTTGCCCTCAAGGGTCATGCCATGGTCTCTACATACCTGATAAAGAAGGCAGTTTCCTTAATGGCCCCAAAGCTTCTGCCCTGGACTCCAGGTCGCCTGTAGATATCTGCCCTCCCTAGCCTCTGTGCTCCTGGACATCTGGGTTGCCTCTAGCAGTCACTGCTGCTGCTAAGTCGCTCCAGTCGTGTCCGACTCTGTGTGACCCCATAGATGGCAGCCCACCAGGCTCCCCCGTCCCTGGGATTCTCCAGGCAAGAACACTGGAGTGGGCTGCCATTGCCTTCTCCGATTAGCAGTCACTAATTCATGTTAATGGAAAGAAATTGAAGCCCTGCTGTTGCCACTGACCCATGTGTCCCTTCTTCGCCTTGTTTGCCTGGAGCACGTGGACTAGTCAGTTATTAAAGCTAGACCAGCCCTTTGGAGAAGTTCAATCTCACATTTTGTTCTAGGTTAGCATCTGGACCTAGAGTCTCCAGGGCTACGTGACCACCATGGTGGGTGTCTCCAAGTGCTAGGAGCATCTCTGCCATGGCCAGCAATTGAGCTTTTCCTGCTTCAAAAGCATGGCCTCCTCTATGGCCTATATTTGGACTTCCTGCTTCTGGACAGAGGGATGCCTTTAACTGTCAGCCTGTTGACTAAGCAGAAATAGCTGACCTACCCTACCCAGTGGTTCTTGGAAATGCCTGGCAGCTTTCAAAAAAGTACTGGTGCCCAGGGACCACCGCCAGAGATTCTCACTGAATGGGTCTGGGGTGAGGCCCAGACATGGGTAGTTTTGAAAGTCCCCAGATGATGGTAATGCAGCCAGGCTCCAGGATCCCTGACCCCATCCCGTGGAATGACTGGGCCCTTCCCGTTCAGGCTTCCGATTGCATGCCACCCCAGGGGCTGTCTGGTGACACATACAGGTCCCCCATTTCCACCCTGTTTCACATCATGTGAAACGATAGAAAACTGTTATCTATATAGGAACGTAATGGCAAGGTAAGGGGGAGAGTCTTCTGCTTTCGTCGATGTGTCGGCAGTTTTCTTTTGATAAACTGAGAAGGCTCTGTAGAAGGTATAGAAATTTAGGGGTATCTACATGCTGTAAAAGAGTTGCTGCGGGACCTCCCTGGTGGTCCAGTGGCTAAGACTCCACACTCCCAAATCACACTCCCTGGTTTGATTCCTGGTCAGAACTAGATCCTGCATGCCACAGTGTAGATCTTGTATACCACAACTAAGATCTGGTGCAGACAAATAAATAAATTAAAAAAAAAAAAAAAAGAGCTGCTCGGAGTTGAGAGGACACGCCGTGCATGGTGGAGCTTGGAAGATGACTGGAGGAAGTGAGTCAATCAAGTGGTGCTCTTGGTTCAGGTATGAGTGACCTCAGTTGAGACCTCCTGGCCTAAGATGATTGTACATTTTGTTTTTGATTACACTGAGAAAGAAATAAGATGTTAGCTCACGATGGCCTATGATTGCATTTCCTCTGAGATGTGAATGCATTTCATTTGAGCTTTTCTTTTTTTTTCCTGAACATATCCGGTCTACATTAGCCATTTTCCCTCGGGTGTCAGGGTTCAATTAAGTTTTCCTGTGGAAGAGGCTCCTGAAATAAACTTAGAGCTGGAGCAGTAAGAGAAGAGATAACAGGCTAAGTTCCTTCTTCCAGCAATTAAGGAGAGCCAGCATCACAGATTTGACTCCTTTGAACTTCCTAAGCATCCTCTTTGTTGGTTCTGTTAATGTCATTATTACTGATAATGGCAGGGAAGTAAGGGAGAGAGGGAAAGCTATCTCAGAACAAGCTGGAGAGGAGTCGGGCATTGTTACCAGAGAGCAGAGGAGGGCAACAGCTCCCGGTGGGGCTTCCCTGGAGGCTCAGTGGTAAAGAGTCACCTGCCAGTGCAGGAGATTCGGGTTTGATTCCTGGTCTGGGAAGATCCCACATGCTGCGGGGCAAGTAAGCCCACGTGCCACAAGCACTGAGTCTGTGCTCTAGAGCCTGGGAGCTGCGACTGCTGAGCCCAGATGCCTCAGCTGCTGAAGCCTGCCCACCCTAGAGCCTGTGCTCGGCAGCAAGAGAAGCCGGTGCAGTGAGAAGCCTGTGGACCGCAGCTAAAGAGTAGCCCCTGCTTGCTGCAACTGGAAGAAAGAAAGAAAAGGCCCGAGAAGCAATAAAGACCCAGCAAAGCCAAAAATAAATGAATACATAAATAGTTTCCAGTGGGTGAAATCCTGGGTGTAGGGCCAGCCACAAAATCTACAGGGCCCGGTGAAAAATGAGAATGTAGAGCCCCTTGTTCAAAAATGAAAATAGCGGAGCCTTCGGTCAAGCAAGGGGCCCTTCTAAACATGCCCGTGACATATAGTCACACGCCCATGAAGCTGGGCCTGGCTGGGAACAGCCTTTGGGCTTGATCTCTGAGCCACAGAAAGGGAGGGCCTCCTTGGTCTCTGAAGCATCCTAGAGGAGCCCACCCGGGAACTCCCCCAAACCCTTCCCTGGGTTGGGCCAGCTCAGCCTAGCCCATCGACAGCCCATGTCCCTCCTTCAGGGCCCAGCGAGAGCAGATTGAAAAGGAGCGGCTGGAGGAAGAGAAGAAAGCTACAGGGCGCTTGCAGCACGCCAACGAGCTCCGGCGCCAGGTGCGGGAGAACCAGCAGAAGCAGGTGCAGGCCCGGATCGCCACCTTCGATGAGGGCCGGCGCCTCAAGGAGGAGGCCCAGAAGCGGCGTGAGCGCATTGAAGACATCAAGAGGAAAAAGCTCGAGGAACTGAGGTGCGCTGGGGTCCCTTCCTCCCCAGCTGCTCTCCCCTTCCCCAGGGAGGCAGCCTGGATGGTGCAGGGTTAGGGAAGAAGGGATGGTGATGGGGGCATGGGGAGCGCTTCCTGCCTGACTCCAGGCTCACATGGGCTGTTGGCCTCCGAAGCGGGCGCCTGCAGAATGTTCTGAAACTGGGACTTCCTTGGTTGGCTCTCTGGGGAACTCCTTAGCAGGATGCTGGAGTCTTGACAGGCATGTGTTTGGGGAATGGGTGGTGGGACCAGGCTCAGGGATATAGGTCCCTAGGTTCTTTCAGCCTGCTTCTGCTGTCTCTTTGGTCCCCTCCCCACCACTCCCAGCCCTTATGCCCACCCTTTGTTTCCCCTGCAGGGCCACCGGCCTTCCTGAGAAGTACTGCATCGAAGCTGAGCGCAAAGCTAACATCCCAGCCAACACGTCTGTGAACTGAGGGAACCCCTCTGCCCCTCAGGATGCCTTCAAGGGGGCAGGTTCCTCCCCAACTCTCGGTGTCCATAACTGCTGCTAATCTAGACAGTTCTGAGTTATAGATTAAATCTATTCTTCTCTAAGGAATAGTCCAGCTTTCTTGCTGTGGGGAATGTGGCCGCTATGGACTAAGTGGGGAGCAAAATAGGTTATGGGGGCCCTGGGCTGTGGGCAGTATGATCGTCGGAGACAGAAATGAGAGGATGCTCCCTCGTGGTCAACCCTCCTAAGCCAGGTGGTCCCTTTGTCCTGGGGTCTCCCGGCTTTTTTTGTGACCCTCTGGCACGCTGTCGTCATGTCCACTTTCAGCTCAGTCTTCTCTCTGTCCCCACTCCATGTCCAGTGCAGAGGCATTTCGTGGCGAGGAGCTCGAGGTGCTGTCTCAGGGAAGGGCCGGGGAGGAGGTGCCAGGGCTCCTACAGGTGCGTGCCTGCGACTCAGACCGTGCGAGCTGAGAGGGGGGTGTTTGGGCCTGGGGCTCACCCTCCTGTGTCAGCCGTCTTCCAGAGCCCTTTCAACTCCGGGCAGCGTCACCACGCAGGCACCGGCCCCGTCTCCCATCAGGGCGCACCCTGCCTGCCCGATCCCCTCACCTGACACAGCTGTCCCCTCACCCAAGTGGCCAGCTCCCTTTGGTCCTCCTCGCTCCAACACGTGGGGCTTCCCAAAGCCATCTTTCTCAGTGTTAGTTTGCCTCCCTCTCCCTCAAAATATTCTTCATTCATTCATTCACTCGTCCAAGTATCTCTGAGGACCTGCCAGATGCTAGGTACATTTCCAGTGAAGTCAATTTCCAGTGAACACAGCGAACCTGGTTCCAATCACAGAGAAGCATCTCATCTGTGTCAGTCAATCTGCTCTTGCTTCCCACCAGATTTCTTGTATCTTTAGCAGAGTCTCAGCCTATTTAGAAGGACTTGATGATCAGGCTCCCATTCTGGGGCTGTGTACTAGCTTCCAGAGATGGAGCCAGTTCCCCATTTTTGTATGCCTTTGCGGGGAAAGGGCCTCCACCCAGCTCCCATCACTATGGCAACCTCCCTCCCCCTCAGTTTCGTTTCTCCAATCCAGAGCCCGGTCGCGTCTCCTTCGGTGGGTCCTACACTGAGAGGAGGCCGAGGACAGCTGCCGGGCGCATCCCGGCTGTTTACAACACCAGGTTACGAGAGCCTCGGGCAAGAGTCCTTTATTCAGAGGACCCAGGGAGAGAGGGCAAGCTGCTTCCCGTGCTGCCTCTGTCTCTTCCCCAGGCTCCTTCCTCACCATCGCCACCAGGGGAGACTGCTGTCCCCTTCCTCCCTGAATCAGACGGGCAGCCTCACCAGCTGTGTGGGGAAGAGGCTTTCTCACCTTCCCGGCTCAGTTCCCCTAAGTGCACCCCTCGTACCTAAAGAAGTTGACCTCTTCCTCCGCAGGGGTCTTGTATAGATGCAGTGCCCAGCCTGGGATGGGAGAGACAGCATGGTAATGCCACTGAGACGGCTGGCCAACTTGCTTAGGTTCTAAGGATTCCTTGTTGTTCAGTCGCCAACTCTCTGTGACCCCATGGACTGCAGCACTCCAGGCTCCTCTGTCCTCCACTATCTCCCAGAGTTGACTCAAATTCATGTCAACTGAGCCAGTGATGCCATTCAACCATCTCATCCTCTGTGGCCCCCTCCTCCTCCAATCTTTCCCAGCATCAGGGTCTTTTCTAATGAGTCAGCTCTTTGGACTGCAGTCAGATTTCCTTGTCATCCAAGGGACCCTCAAGAGTCTTCTCCAACACCACAATTTGAAAGCATCAGTTCTTCAGCACTTGGCCTTTATGGTCCAACTCTAATATCCATACATGACCGCTGGGAAACCCATAGCTTTGACTACCTGGACCTTTGTCGGCAAAGCGATGTTTCTGCTTTTTAATATGCAGTCTAGGTTTGTCATAGCTTTCCTTCAAAGGAGCAAGCATCTTTTAATTTTATGGCTGCAGTCACTGTCTGCAGTGATTTTGGAGCCCAAGAAAAAAAGTCTGTCACTGCTTCCACCTTTTCTCCTTCTATTTGCCATGACGTGATGGGACTGGATGCCATGATCTTAGTTTTCTTAATGCTGAGTTTCAAGCCAGCATTCTCACCCTCCTCTTTCACCTGCATCAAAAGGCTCTTTAGTTCCTCTTCATTTTCTGCCATTAGAGTGGTGTCATCTGCGTATCTAAGGTTGTTAATATTTCTCCTGGCAATCTTGATTCCAGCCAGGCATTTCACATGATGTACTCTGCATATAAGTTAAATAAGCAGAGTGGCAATATACAGCCTTATCCTACTTCTTTCCCAATTTTGAACCAGTTGTTTCATGTCCAGTTATAACTGTTGCTTCTTGACCCGAATACAGGTTTCTCAGGAGACAGATAAAATTCTTTAAGAATTTTCCACAGTTGGGGAATACATGTAAATCCATGGCTAATTCATTTCAATGTATGACAAAAACCACTGCAATGATGTAAAGTAATTAGCCTCCAACTAATAAAAATAAATGGAAAAATAAATAAATAGAAAGAAAAAATAAATAAATAAAATGCTTGTAATCATAAAAAAAAAAAAAGAATTTTACACAGTTTGTTGTGATCCACACAAAGGCTTTAGCAGTCAATGAAGCAGATGTTTTTCCGGAATTCCCTTGCTTTCTCCATGATCCAGTGAATGTTGCAATTTGATCTTTGGCTCTTCTGCTTCTCTGAAACCCAGCTTGTACATCTGAAAGTTTTCAGTTCATGTACTGCTGAAGCCTGGTTTGAAAGGTTTTGAGCATAACTTTGCTCCAATGCACTATGCACTATGTGAAATGAATGCAATTTGTATCATAGTTTAAACATTCTCTGGCGTTACCCTTCTTTGGGATTGGAATGAGAACTGACCTTTTCCAGTCTGTGGCCACAGTTGAATTTTCCAAATTTGCTGACATACTGAGTGCAGCACTTTTACCGCACAGTTAATAATACCTGCAGGGACCAGGGAGTGGGTCCTTACTTGTCCCAGGGGAGCTTCTTCTCAGTTAGAAAGGGCCTTGGGTGCCTGGAGTTTGCCCAGCTCCTTACCTATGGTCATCCAGCTCAGGGCTGGGAGGAACAAGCTCCCTCGGAGTGAAGGTCAAGAAGAAAGGGGCTTCCGTGCCCATTGCTAACTTCTGAGCCAGGTAGAGAAAAATGGTCCAATTTTGTGGGTTAAAAGCAAGACCAACACTTCCTCAGAACTCTTTGCAGGTGAAATGGAGACAGTGTTGTGCTGTGCTGAGTTGCTCAGTCGTGTCCGACTCTTTGAGACCCCATGAACTGTAGCCCACCAGGCTCCTCTGTCCATGGGGATTCTCCAGGCAAGAACACTGGAGTGGGTTGCCATGCCCTTCTCCACGGGATCTTCCCAACTCAGGGATCGAACCCAGGTCTCCTGCACTGCAGGCAGATACTTTACCATCTGAGCCACCAGGAAAGCCTGAAATTGGAGCCTGACAGGTCCCAAAGCCTAAACGTGAGACTGTCTTGACATGGCCTGGGGTAGGCAGCTAGAAGTTACGTGACTGGGGTTTGGCTTTGGAGATGGGAGAATATAGCCACCTCTGATCAAGTGAAGATAGTTTGGGGGAAAATCTTAAGAGTTCTCCCCTCAGAGTTGTCTCCTCTAGGGATTCTCTGAGCTGGCCCATGATGTGAGAGAGGTTTGATTTCTTCTCTCATGATAACTGAGAAGCCCCACACAGGCTTCTGTGGCTTCAGGACTGGCCTGAGTCATCAGCAGGAATCTAATCCCTAGAAGTGGAACATTCCTGACAGCCAGGCAGGCAGCTGTCATCTGAGGCCAGCTGGCTGCATTTGGTCACCTTTTATAAACCCTCCCACTTTCTCACTGAGGAATGGAGAGGGGGATAATCACAGGAAAAGGTTCCCTGGTGTCAAATGGGGGCTGGAGGGTTCAGGCTGCCTGATATGGTGGAAGAGCCAGCAAGGGTAGTAAGCCCAGCTTGCAGGGGGCAGGGATGGGACACAGAGATAAAGAGAGAAAATTGAAAGTGTTTTGAAAGCATAATGGATCTCCCCCATGGCTTCCCACCTGCCCCATTCAGGAACAACCAGCCGCAGACTTGTTACTTGATGCTGGACTTTTGGGTGGGCAGTGTTTTCTCCTAGGGGGTGGCTTCAACTTTCCCTCCTAGGGCTCAGGGGTAGAAATGAACTCTGTGCACTGCTCCAAGCTGCTATATCAGCTTAGGGGTCTCTGGGAAGCTGTGAGATTCCAAGCTGTGGTTCAGTGCGGAGGAAATCTGGGGGTCAGAAGCGCTCATTGGTGCATCGTCTTTGTTGATGTACATATGTTAGAACCTTGTAAGGAAAAAAAAAGTGCCCAAGCTGTTAACTTTGTTGTATGAGTACCTGATTGACTTTGAGTACCTGACTGACTGTGAGTACCAGCTCCCTTTCTTCTGAACCTCGGGAGTCTGGTTCTTGCAACATCAGACTGGGCTGGTGCAGCCTGGAAAATCCAGTGGCTGGACGCCACGGTAGAGCACTGAGTCAGGCCTGTGGGCGGCTGCCTGCTGGGCACGTGTGCCGGGGCTCCCGCTTGGGCTCCACACGCTCGCTGCCCCTGTGTGCCCACTGCCTGTGTCACGCTGCCCTGGCACTGGGAGGCGGTCTCAGAACCTCTGCCCCTGCTGCCCAAGCAGCACCGAGGGGGCACGGCTTAGCAGCCAGCTCTGGTGGCTGAGCCAGGCCGTCCCTGACTCAGCGGGGCCCTGCGATGTCCTGCAGTACCCCCTGGAAGCCTCAGCATCCCCGTCAGTGACTCCGGCCACCTCTGGGCATTAACTGGTCTCAATAAAAGTACTTTGAGTAAGCTCAGATGAAAGGGGCTCAGGATATTTCAAAGCCAGTCAGGGCTTCCGGGGTGAGGAAGGGTGGCGGGTATTGAGGTGACAGTCGGGGGGAGACGC